ATATACGACAGGTCTGGACCACTCGTGAATTTTGTTCGTATCTGAAAAAAATCTTAGAATATGAAAACATTGGTGAATGCCACAAATTCTCCTAAACCACTCGTACGCACAACTTAAGAACAAATCTGTGCGTACGAACGGTTCTTGCATGAGGCCCATTGTTTCTAAATCTCCATGAGTTACATTTACACAGAAACAATAAAAAACTGAGTTTTAAAAAGCTTTCAGTAGTTTTAAAATGTTTAAGGTCACACAGAACCGTACAGTCTTATTCAGCCTTACCACTGCTTTAACAGGGGAGAGAGAGCCACTGGGTCGGTCTGGGGACAGGCTGCTATAAGGTTTTTCTGACAGGAAGTGTGCAGAAAGAGAGTGAGTGAGCAAAAAGTAAAAAAAAAAACAAAACAAAAAAAACCAGTCCTTCCACTGAGGAATGACTGGTGTTTCTGTGGAGACAAGTCAGAGCTCAGGAGTCAGAGTGACAAAGATGCTGCTAACAGACAGCAGATGATCATGTTAAACCAGCCCTGGCATTTGAGAGAAGAGAGCTCCTGTTCTCGCTAATGAAGCCTAATTGGATTCTGGTGATAATTTCACAATGATATCCACGAGGTGCAGCAATGAGTGTTTTCACGTTAGGCAGGCTGAGTTGTTGTTTCCTGCTAGAGAAAGAAAAGTTGTTGTTTTTTTTTGTCTGAACTGATGAAAACACCACTTATCAAAAATGTCCAGGGTAAACTGTAAGGCACTAGTATTAAAAAAGTCTTTTTCTTTTAACAAACAAAACAAAATGTAACTAATTAATTGACTCAACAGTAGCAAGCACTCATGTCAGAAGACCAGAGTTACTTTAATGAATTTATGGAATTTGACGACAGAAGTGCTGCTATTTTAGAATGAATAATCATATTAGGTTTACATGAGTCTCTAAAACCAAGTAATCAAGCTTCAGCTATAAAAAATCATGTCTTTGTTCTGTAAAATATATAAATGCATCATAGGTTTAACTTGGAAGGGTCACCTCAAGGACTGGATGACAATTCCTCTATTCTGAAAAAAATCAGCCAGATGGTCTTGAGGATGTAACTCAGAGCTACATGTGATAAAGCATGATACTGTTGCAGAAAACCTCCAAACATGGTGATGCTGTGGGGTTTGTCTTCATGGTTACAGCTTATTTTTATATTTGTACCCTGGATGAAGCATGGTGGCAGCATGATGTTGGACTTGTACACACTGGTATTGCTTAATCATTCAGAAACAGGACTGGCCACTAGGGCTGGGCGATATGGCTGAAAAACTTAGGTTTGGGTTAGGGCTGCAACGATTAATCGATTAATCGACGACTAATCATCCATCCATCCATCCATTTTCTGTACACGCTTCTTCCTTTTCAGGGTCGCGTGGGTCACTGGTGCCCATATCCAGCAGTCACAGTGCGAGGGGCGGGGTACACCCTGGACAGGTCGCAAGTCCATCACAGGGACACACATAGAGACAAACGATACAAACAACCATTCACTCTCTCACTCACACCTAGGGACAATTTAGAGTTATCAATTAACCTAACAGTCATGTTTTTGGTCTGTGGGAGGAAGCCGGAGTACCCGGAGAGAACCCACGCATGCACGGAGAGAACATGCAAACTCTACCCCAGAAAGGTCCCCGGACCGGGATTTGAACCGGTGACCTTCTTGCTGAGAGGCATCAGCTCTACCAACTGAGCCACCGTGCCGCCCTCGACGACTAATCGATTATTAAAATAATCGATGACTAATTTAATAATCGATTAATCGTTTTCTTTTTTTTTTGTTCTTTACTTTGTTTTTCTCTCCAAACTGCTTCGACACCTTCCACTGCCACATCTGCCTTTCTGTCCTTGACACACATGCACAGTAGTGGTAACTGGGGTAGGCCGTGGACGTCACAAGACATTATACAGACAGGCTCTGGTATCATGGCTACTCGGCAACGGAGCTCAAAGTGTGGGATCATTTTAAGAAAATGAAAGAGAAACCTGTGTAATATCTGCAGAGCAGAACTTACCTTCCACAGTAATTATTTTTAGTTAGCATATAGCTAAAATCTAACCATGGTTATATAATAGCAGCTGCATTCTGGCACGATAAGCTGTATGTTTTATATTCAATTAACGTATGATCTGATTAGTCGACTAATCGAATAAATAATCGGTGATTAATCGATTATAAAAATAATAGTTTGTGGCAGCCCTAGGGTCCAACAATGTTTTAGTCAAACAGAACCAACAAGAATGAAACAAAAAGTAATTAGAGGAAAAAAATAAACGTTAAATGTAAATAAATTCTAATTATAAAAAAAATAATAATAGTTTTACATCTAAAAATCCTATTTTATTATTTTAATCTATTTTCCTCATTCAGCAACCTTTTAAATTTCTGTTATGTTTCATGTAGTAGAAATACACATTTTTTCAGTCAGTATTTAATACAGCTGGCAACATAAATTGTTAAAATATGTATTATGTGCTTCTGTTTTTTAATTCAGGAGATTATAAAAAATCCTTCATTTTATGGGAAGACCCTCTTGATTCAAGAGAAAACTTTTATTTTTAAAAATGGCTGCTTATTAATTAATTGTTAATCAATCTATAAGATAAATCAACTTCAGATTAATTCATTAATCAATAACTTGCATCATTAAGGAGTTAACTTAATTTATATCTATTCATATTCATGTAATTAAGTGTTTTAATGATTTGGCCGATTAATCGATTAATCGAAAAAATTATCAACAGATTAATCGATTATTAAAATAATCGTTAGCTGCAGCCCTAGTTTGAGTTTGACTTGTGAGTGTCTGGAGATATTCTATATATTATCCCAGCTTTTTAGTCTTCGTTAAGTAACTGAAGCACGTTCTGGACCCCTCACCTTAAGCCCACCCCCCCACCGTTTGGCTCCCCGTGTGGACACAGCAGCCTTGAGCTCTACACGTGGAGCACATCATACCGAGCAGAAGTGCTGCTTTTGTTCTCTGGTAGAAAAAGCTTCGTCCTGATGGTCCCGTGAATATAAAAGACCTCACTTGTACAGCTTATAGTGCTCTTAACTGAGAACAGCAGAACTCAGAGCTACACACCAATCAATAAACAAAGATGATCATGTCGTTCAGTAAATACTCGTTGCTGGCTATAAATTTGATGCTAACATTCTCCAAACTGTACTCTTTTTTTGGCAGATAAATTAAAATGAAAATATATTCTCTCAGTTTTAATTATATTCTCAACGAGCCTTCAAAAGAAAAAAGGAGATAAAGCTTTCAAATAATTAAATTTCTCATTCAGAGGTTTGTCAGAGTTTATCGTAACATAAATGCATTTCTCTTCCGTTTGTCCCCAGGTGAAGAAGCTTCGTCTCCTCAGCGACTCACGTCTGCTTTGTCTAAAAAGGAGCGCATCTCTTTCAGGGACAAGCCCGTCCAGCTGAGCTGGGGCTGGGGAGGGGGCAAGAAGAGAGACAGGAGTAAAAGTTACTCCAACTAGTAAAAAAAAAAAGAAGTCCCGTAAAATATACCCCTAACTGGATTTCCCTTTTTGTAACATTTTTTTGAAGATTATAAAGATCATCTAAAGGACTAAAGTACATCTAAAGTAATGGAATAAAGATATGTTTCATTTCAAATCCTTGGTTTATTGTGCTACAGAGCTGTATTTAAAGACGGAGCCCTGTGTAAAATCTAAAACCAGAACCAGGACCTGAATCTCCTTAAAACTTGAGTTTTTTTTCCCAAAGCTTCCAGCTAAACTTAGACTGCGTCCAAGCAGCATCAAACCGAGGGCCACAAAACCTGGGAGAATTACACGCTTCACATCAGCTGATGACAGGAAATAAGAAGCAGGACCTGTAGGAGCTGTGGGCTTTGTGCTCTGTTCCTCTGGAAGTCTTGGGACAGATTATTGGACCTCCTCGTCTCTTCCGAACTCAGAAACGACGTGTGATCGTCTCTTTCTGTCGTCGTGCTTGGTTCTCTGTTCGCCCAAAAATTAAACATTTGATCGTCTAAGGGAACACAAACATTGTTAGAATTTGATCCTTTATGTTTGCAGTACTATGAGGACCGTGTGTGTGTGTGTGTGTTTTTGGGGTTGACATTTGGAAAGCTGCGGCGTCCGTCCACTCTCGCTGCCGTAACGGAGGCGGTTCTCCTGTGAGGGTCCACGCTGACCTGCTGTCTGGAAAAGCACACATTAATGAATGTAAAAACACACAGTGAGCACTTCAAAGTGGCTGCCTGGCAGGAAATGCGCTTCTTTCTGCTTATTTTTCCCTCCCATCATGTCTGGAGGGTGGGTTTGGACAGGGATTTTTGTTCGAGAAGACCGGCACACGCCAGAGCTGAGGTGGTTTCAAACCTAAAAAACAGCGTCTCCTTTTAGGTGGAAAGTCAGTGGTGAAAGTCCCCAGCTAGATTTGCAGGTCTTTGCGTTGCCACCACATATATAAACTAGAGCCATAAAAGTGATATCCAGCTTGTCTATAGTGTTTTGTTTAAGATAAGTCCAGAATTACTTAAAACATTGTTATTTGTGTTATAATGAGAGGCCACTGTCCTCCACTTTTTGTAATGTTTACTTTTGTTGATGTTAACTGAGTCCACAGATTAATGTAGATTAGAAGAATCTTCTCAGCTCAAGCTGTTCCACCAACCTGACCTCAGCTCAGCTAAATTTCCCAGATTCTGTCTCTTCTCTCCGTTTGTACTTTAAATATTTGTTAGGCTGAATTTTTCCCCCTGTTTATGAAAAAAAGAAAAAGAAATTCTCTTAATGTTATTCCAACAAAAACACTGAAATACTCAGATCATGCCACCAGGTGGGGAACTTTCACATTAAGAGAACAAAAAACAGAAAAAGAACATTCTTAATTTGGCTAAAGCAGAGGTGTCCAAAGTGGAGCCGGTGGGCCAAATTTGGCCCGCCAAGCCATTTGATTTGGCCCACTAGCAGTTATCCTGGTTACCAGATTGTAATCTCCTGTCTTATGTAGAAACACTATATTTACACTTAGTCTTTTCAACCATTGGTCCAACTATACAAGGAGCTGTCATGCAGATAGTTTTAACTTGTGGTGCTCACTTTATCTTTGAATAATGTTAAGATTAAACATAAAATACAAGTAACTTCAACAGACATTTATATTAGATCTAAGTGCACATCTAGATTTGCACACCTTAAAAGACCACATATACTCAAATTTTAAATTATGAAAAGTTTCATGAGCCTTTGCTGCCCGAGAAAACATTGAATTTTCTCCATGTCCTGGGGCTGAAAAAAAAAAACACAAACAAAAAAATGTGGGCAACCGCACTGGCTGCTAGCTTAATCATAAAAAATACAACTTTTTTTGAAGTATATGCATTTCGTGTATTATATTATTGAATTTGGCCCACCACCCTCAGATTGATTTTTACTTTGGCCCTTTCAGGGAAAATGTTTGGGCACCCCTGGGCTAAAGGTTTACCATAAATCAAAAAGAAAAAAAATTGTATAGGTCTTCTGGACGGGTTCTTCTCTAATGAAACGTTTCGTCTCTCTTCCAAGAGACTTCTTCAGTCTGAGAGTTTCAGGCAAAATTCAGGCTTTTAAGCACTGCCTCCATGTGACTGATACTCACATCACATGGCTATCATTGACACCTAATTAACACCTATTGTTAACGGGTGGAGTGAAACTGGCAATAGCCGCGCTGTAGGAGGGAGACAACTGAAAACGGAGGCCTCCACCTCTGTTTAATGATGGGCGGTCTTTCCGACCATCATTTCGRCCATCCATCATTAAACAGAGGTGGAGGCCTCCATTTTCAGTTGTCCCCCTCCTACAGTGCTGCTATTGGCAGTATCACTCCACCCCCGTTAACAATAGGTATTAATTAGGTGTCAACGATAGCCATGTGATGTGAGTATCAGTCACCTGGAGGCAGGACTCAAAAGCCTGAATTTTGCCTGAAACTCTCAGACTGAAGAAGTCTCTTGGAGGAGAGACGAAACATTTCATTAGAGAAGAACCCGTCCAGAAGACCTATACAATTTTTTTTATTTTTGATTTTTTACCTGGATTACTGAGATACATCAGGACATTCTCCATTAATAATAGTTGCACATTTTTTTAACTGTTTATAATTTCCTTTCAGCACTCGTTCGAAGCTTAATGATGACAAGATAAGTAGACCAATTAAAAAACAACAACAAACAAAAATGGATTAATTTGTGTTTTGGGTTTCTAGAGCACAAATGATCAAAGTGCGTATCAGCTCTGTTTCTCAAATCAACATGAATTCACCAACAACAAAGTTCAAAAATGTCCTTTAAAAACACCCAACTCTGTTTGCATGTAGACAGTTGGAAAAAAGCAGAAAATTTCAGTTTTTAAAAATATCCAGAGAAATGAATGGGGCCTCTAAAGTCAGCATGTTTCTATCCAACCCTGCAGAGCCCTGTATCACACAACCTGTCCCCGACACATTCGTACAGCTCCACATCTCTGCAGAGCGAAGCTGAAAACAGTATTCTCCAGTCTAACCAGTGCTTTAGACTGCGTTCGTGGGACACATCAGACACCATGAAGGTTCAGTGTCTCGCCCAGGGATCTAACCACTGAACCACAGCCGCCCCAAAAGTGTCACTTTTAACTGCATTAATGTAGCTGGAAAGTTAGCTGCGAATAATATGTTCCACATTCCTTTCTTTATAAATATTTTCATGTTTAAAAACTCTCAGAAGCTCCTTTATTTGAATAAAAAAACATTTCTTTTTCAAATTCTACATTCAATTTTTTGGAGCAGTAATATTAAACAAATTGTTTTAAGAGATCATATTAGTGTAAAAATAATGCAGTGCTGAGGGATGTACAGTACTGTAGCAAAGACCACGAATTTGTTGCAACAGGTTGTGAGAATATATTCAATAAATATCAACAAACACCTGTGAAATTATAGGATTTGGAGAGGAAGCTTTTGGATATTTTTATTATTTAGGTTAACAGAGGCACATAATTGGAAAAGTCGTACAAAACGTAACTCACCGATGCTGAAAAATCACAGTTAAATGTTGCTGTTTTGTGACATAAAAGCCACTTCTTTCAGCCAAAGTAAACAGCAGACATGAACTGTGAGGAGTGTTTACAGAGGCCGAGGAGCGAGACTCAGATGTAGAGAAAACAGGTGAAAAAAAATCTATTTTTAAATTTAAAAAAAACAGAAAATTTTCATTTATTTATAATGAAATCAACTTTTGTGTGATGAGATATATAATAATAATAATAATAATAATAAGTGTCTATGCTAATGTTATAAACAACATTACTAACATCTTTAAACAGACATTTCATGACGAGCCATTTAAGTAAATAATAAAGTCAGAGTACAGGGAGTAAATGATGAAATTTACAATTTATTGTGTTACCCAGAAGTTTTTCAGAAATTTCACGTGTTTTCTTCTTGTTGTATTTGATGGGTGAAGTGTGTCTTCAGGTAGCATCTCATAAACCTTTGTAAAAATTAAATATTTGTTTAGTTCGTCCAGGTTTGGGACATTTGGGACTCGAGCAGAATTTTAACATAAACTAGAATAACTCGGGAGTTGAAGTTTGTCAGAGCTCAGGAATGCCTGATCCTTGGAAACACGAGAGACAAACAAACAATGAAAACAACCTTTGAAAGCACCACTGCTTTCACTTTTTTTTTACGTTTTAATTTGGTTAAATCCATTTTTCGGGGCCAAACGTTGTGCAGGTTCACATTTCGGTGCTTTCGGCTAAAACAAACTCCGGGTCCTTTTTGTGTTTTTGTGGCGAGTCGGAGTTTAAAGGCATTTCAGTGGATTAAATTAAAGCTAAGTGTGGCTTTGGGCATCATGACGTCATGTTCCTGCCTGCTGAAACGGTTTGTTTTGGCCGTGTGTTTGCTTCATTTGGACAGGGTTTATTTACATGAAGGCCGGCGATCAAGATCCACTAATATTTCGAGCATTGCTGAAGTACACCGGCAGAGCTGTGCGTTGCAGTGAGTGTCATGTTGTTGTTCTTTTCTTAGGAGCATCAGACAGTCAGGGTGGCTCACACGACTTATTAAAGAATTAGTCCGACTGATGAACACATGACGGCCAAAGGCTGCACAGAGTCTGGTTATTATGGCTGGAATCTGCAGACGCAGGCCCGCCTCAACCAGAGTGAACTTTTCACATTTTCTCCTCAGCATGGGCGAGTGTAGGGGTCACCTTAGAAGCCCAATATGACGACCCCCCCCTGCTATTTAAAAACACTTGTGTTTATTTAGATTTTCCCTCTTGTGGCACCAGGCGGCCCCAGGTAACTGCGCCTGACCCCGGAGCGAACCAAAGCCGTACGGCTGGCGTGCCTGGCAGGTGGTGCAGCTCAGGGTGGAGGCCGGCTCTGGTCCACTTTAAATCCCTGCAAAGTGCAGCGTGGCTGCTCCTGCAGGGAAACCCTGTGTTTATGGAGAGGCCAGGTTTTGACCCGGTCTTGATGCTGTTCATAGAGGAGTTTGCACACAAAGGAGGCTTTCTATAGAGCGCAAACGGCAGCACTGTTGTTTCATTTTAGGTCGATCGCAGGATATAATCCTGTTTTTTTTTGTTCTGTTTATGGTTGGAGATGTTCGACACTAAATGCAGCACGTTGGTTTTAAAAAAGTACCACAAATGATGTGCAAACTGTCAAACATTTACAGTGCAGTTATTGAATAATACATTTTAAAACGATGCAGGTCGTTATTATTATTATTATTATTATTATTTGCACTTGAGTGCTTATAAGAACCAGTTTAGTTGCACACAGTGCTTTAGCTGGTTTGGTCAAACCTTTAAAAGGGCTCTATGCACTGTCTTATGCAATTAACTGAAAGCCATTTTTATGTTTGCTAATCAACAGTTAACTAATTAACATACATTTATTATTTACTGAAAGTTTCATTTTTTTGCTTAATAAGATTTATTTTTTGAAAGCAGGCAAGTTTGAGTTTGAGTTGGTGAAAATTCATTTCAGTTCAGTTGTAAATAAATAAACATTTAATGGTTACTTTCTGAGAGTTTCTAGCAGTTTAGGAGGTATTTTGCTAACAGAACATTTACACACACTGACAGCCATTTTAGTGGCATAATAATAATAATAATAATAATAATAATAATAATAATAATAATAATAATAATAATAATAATAAACTATTCTGAATAGTGGATTTTTTTTACCAGAAAACTCAAAACTGAGGTGAAAAACATTTTATTTGAATAAGAGATTCACAGATGATCACACAATCTCTTTATCTTAACATTAAAACTCGATTTGCTGACAGTCATTTCATATTTTTGACATTTTTTCAGCCTTTATTTGAAATTTAAACCAAACAAGGAGTAAATCAGTTTCCTTCTCACTAACGTCACAATAAAAGCCCTCTGTCGGCCTGCACGTGCTCACTCACGGTCAGGGTAAAATCTGGGGGTCTTTTCTAGAATCCGACCCCACCAACATAAAGTGCTCCTGGTGTCTGAAGAGTCTCCAATTAGGTTCCATTTTCAGGTCCAACATGGAGCCGCTCAGCAGTTATTGGCTCATTAAGGCTGTCTATGCTTCGCATTGTTTCCTCTCTTCAGCCTGTTCGGTTCGGGTTCTGGGCGGAGTTGGGTTTTCACATCCACTGCAGGAGGAGGAGGAGGTTCTGGGGAAACATTCCGGGTCTGATCCTTAAGGCTATAAAGACGTTCAGGGCAGCGCACATGAACTCCTTGGGCGCGTCGCGGCACCACCCCAGCGCACCTCCGCGCTCTGCTTCTCCTTCTCCCCGTTTCACCTCCTCTGTTTCCTCAATGCTGACGTTGAGTTAGAGCGCGCTGTTCTCATGGAGTACATGGAGGAGAAGTTCGCTTTGAAAAGCCAAGCGATGAAGAGCAGTGATTACTACATGGAGCAGGTCATGGAGAGCCTGGACGGCGCGCAGTTCTTCACCAAACCGGCGCAGAAATGCGCGCCGGCCTTCGGGCTGCAGAGCGCCGAGCCCCGCTGCCCCCCCTGCGGAGAGCCGGACGGTGAGGGGCTCCTGGGCTCAACTTTTCTGCACATTTCTCTGTCAGTTATGATAATAATAATAATAATAATAATAATAATAATAATAATAATAATAATAATAATAATAAGTGTCTATGCTAATGTTATAAACAACATTACTAACATCTTTAAACAGACATTTCATGACGAGCCATTTAA